TTAGTAGCTGGTGAGTATGCGGCGAACATAATATATCCGTTTTTTTTAATGGGGAAACCTGATTAGTAGATGGTGGGTATGCGGCGAACATAATATATCCAGTTTTTTTGATGGGGAAACGTGATTAGTAGATGGTGGGTATGTGGCGAACATAATTTTTTGATGGGGAAACGTGATTAGTATCGTTCACACAGGTTATTTTTCCCTACCTGTTCTTGGGCTTTGCGGGAGAGCCTACGAAGAGAGGTGCCGAGAAAGGTCCCGATGCCCACCAGGAAGGGCATCACCACCACAAGGAGCCCGGTCAACTTGGGAGAAATCAGGTAAAGGGACACGAAACAGCCCACCGTCTGGGTGAGACTGCGCAGACCCTACAAAGGGGAAGAATGGACTCAGCGGAGAAGAGAAACGGGGGCATGAAAAGAGACTCCGCGTTAAAGAGGGAAGGGAAACACCCCCCCTCAGGCCTCCGTCCGCGCGAGTTGGGCCTTAAATCAGGAGTAGGGTTGCCCCCCCATTTCCCCTGAACCTTCCACCCTCTGTCCCGTCGTAAGCCAAACCTGAGAGATGACCAGCTTGAAAGAAGATTTGAATTCCTGGATGTCGGCGGTCAGGCGGTTGACCAGGTGGCCCGTCTGGTTGGCATCGAAGAAGGCTATATCTTCCCTTGGGGAAAGGAGAGAACCAGGGTTAGGAGGAACAGGCGGCTCCGAGGGGCCTTCCAACTCCGGGGTTCTCTCTCTGGGTCTCCGGCTTGGAGCGGGCAGGTTGGACTAGATGACCTCGGAGGTCCCTTCCAGAGCCTGATTCAATGCAGTCCCCTCTGGAGCTGCCCACCCCACCCTGGTTTCCCTCGCCGTTACCGGAGGAAGGATGAGAAAAGCTGCTTCCGCATACTGCCGGCTACCTTCTCCCCGATCCAGGACAGCAGCAGGATGTAGCCGAAGGTTAACATGCCCTGCGGCCACAGAGGAGGAGGAGGAAAAAAAAAGAGAGAGTTGTGTGTCACCATCTGGAGCTGTGCGCCTGCCAACTCCGACGTCGAGCGTTGATACGCTCTACTCCGTTGGTTGGTGGGTGGGTTTTACGGGGATTCAGACATAGAATTCCGACGTTGAGGATTGATGCGCTGCACTCCCCCGTTGGTTGGTGGGTGAGTGGGTGGGTTTTCCGGGGATTCAGACAGACATAGAATCCTGACGTTGAGGATTGATGCGC